CATTCATTCTTTACTATTCTATCCTTGTTCGGCAATGCGGGCTTGGTTCAGGAGGAAAAAGGGCCGCCTCAGGAGGCTGCTCTCCAGAGAGAGGCCACCCCCAAGGACACCAGCCAGAGCAAGCCCAGGGCCATCCCCAGAGAGCCCAGCACCAGCAAGCGAGAGCCCAGAGCCCGTCAGGCAAAGGCCAGCGTCCGCGCCCGCCGCTCTCCCATCAGTGATCAATTACATACCCAGGCCTGAATTGGGAGATGATCTGGATGTTGAAGTTTCACTGGCTAACCCGGACAGAACTGCCGAGATTGCGGCCAACGCTCCGCGCTATCGCCGGAAAAGCTCTACATTCATCGATGCCATACACGATGTCTCCGAGGACCAGAAGATGGCCCCGGCCCAGCTCTACAGCACCATGTCTGGCCGGCTTTTCCACAGTGGCAGGATAGCTATCGTCATGGTGGGTCTCCCGGCCCGAGGGAAGACACACATCTGCGTCTCCATGGCACGTTACTTGTCCTGGCTCGGTGTCAAGACTCGCATCTTCCATCTCGGCGACTACCGCCGTGCCACGGTTGGTAAAGGAGGGACCGTGCCTGAAGACTACTTCTTCCCAAACGCCTCTCCCTCGTCGGTCATGCTGCGACAGAAGATCCTGAAGAAGTGCCGTGAGGATATCTATGCCTGGCTCAACCACGAGAACGGTCAAGTGGCCATCTACGATGCTGTGAACCCGACCGCTGGTGGTCGACGATCGCTTGCTAAGGAGTTTGCGAAGCACGATGTCCAAACCCTCTTCCTGGAGTCATACGTCGATGATGAGAGGATTCTCAGGGAGAACGCCAGAAATGTCAAGATCCACTCTCCTGACTTTCACGGTATGGATCCCGATGAAGCAGCCAAGCTTTATCTTAGACGGATCGAGATGAAGATACCCGTGTTTGAAACTATGGGCGAGAATGACCTGAACTACGTCAAGATGATCAACGCTGGTCAAGCCTTCTTTTACAACAACGTCAATTTCAACTACCTCTCGCACCGCATCGTCTTCTATCTAACCAACCTGCACATCAAATCGAGGACAACATTCTTCGTCAGAGCCGGCGCAGCTTCTGAGCCTGACTCTTACAAAGCCGATGGCGGTCTGAGCGAGCCAGGACATGCCTACGCCATCAAGATGACCGAGACGCTTATCAAGCACCGCGAGAAAGAACGACAGACGGCGAAAGAGGCCGGCGGCCCAGATATACCCTTAAGACCCTTGACTGTCTGGACGTCAACTAGGCTCCGTGCTGTGCAGACGGCAGCGCCTCTCCAAGAAAAGGGATACAAGGTCCGCCAGCGGTCTCAAATGAGCCAGATCAATCCTGGCGACTGCGAGAAGCTGTCTGAACGCGCCATTCGAAGCTTGTATCCCGAAGAGGTGGAGAAGCACGAGTTAGATCCGTACCATCACCGCTACCCGCGAGCCGAGGTAAGTTACACCCATCCACCCATGTTCGCGTCGTAATATCTTGCTGAGCAGCCCCTGCAGTCCTACCACGACCTCGCCGTCCGTCTCGAGCCCATTATCCTCGAGCTGGAGCGCGAACAAAATGACCTCCTCATCATCGCACACGAGTCCGTCCTGCGCGTCCTCTACGGCTACTTAATGCACTGCAGCGCCATGGACATCCCCAAGCTCAAGTTCCCTCGCGACGAGATCATCGAGATCATCCCCGCGGCGTATCAGAATGAGGCGAAGAGGATCCACATCCCCGGTCTCGACCCTAGGATGATACCGGGCTCGCCAGAGGACATCCGAATCCCGGTGCCAAGCATGCCGCCGAGCGGGACTCTCAGCCCTATCCCGGGAATGTCCAGCCCCATCGAGGGCCAGGCCACGCCGTTGTCGATCATAGCTGATAAGGTGGCTGATGAAGATTGAATTGGTTTGTTTACTTTGCGATAATGTTCTGGTGGAGGGGCTGTAGCGGAGGGGATGTAACGGAGGGGTAGTAGCGGAGGAATTGTCTCGTCTTTGTCCCGAGGCCGTTGATCAACAGGTGCTCGGAAGCGATGTCAGCACGATGTTTGGTGTGGAAATGGCTCAAGGATGTGATGCAATTGCGCTCCTTTGGAGTAATCGACAGAACCACGGAATGTTCAAAAGGTTTGAACATAGTCTAGCAATACGGAATGATATGGGTATCGCATAACTTTCTCAGGGCCTCAGAACGATGTGACAGTGTTGAGTTGGGTGTGCGGGTCTGTTATCACGTCGAGGTAGTGGCATCTTTCCTGGATGGCTGACACTTACTTACCTGATCCGAACAAAGATGAGGACTAGCCACAAGACAGACACCGCCGACCGCTGAAGACCTAGATGACTTACCCACCGAGGTAGGGACAGTATTACATCACAGCTTAATGGGCTTCCTCTGCCCTCACGAACGTCTTTGGTTCTACGACATCTACAAAGGAGCTATTGCCGTGGTGGGCACTCTAACCTTGAGGCTTCATCCAATGTCTGCCAACCGACTGCACCCATCCTTCCTTTCCCAGCGAGCAAGTGACCGCTTTCCCTACCTTCCCAACCCTAACGCCATTCGTCTCCGAACGTAAGTACCCTGGAGGAACTCTAGCACTTACATCCAGGTCAACTCAACTTGCAGATGTCCCTACTCCGTTGGCAGTGCTGGTCAGCCATACCATCCACGATCACCGCTTGTCAGGGTAACATCTCTGTTGCGCCTTCGTAAACTCCAGTGGCATCTTCATCAGCACTGAAGCTTTAGCGAATCTTCCAGGACGGTTTCCATCAGGTACTGACTTACTGGGGGTTCGTACCCTTCCGACGCCCATCAAGTTCCCTTATTCTTTGGGCTTGAACTAATGCCTACTTACGGTAGCCACCTTAGCAGGCCTTTGATTCGACGGCGCATTGGAATATCCAGCTACTGTACCGTAACTGACATCTTGATACCTCTCAAAGCAGGAACAGACTTTGATCAACCCAGCCTCATACCTTATCGTTTTACGGGCAAACCGAATCTTTTCTTTTTCAGACCTTTCGCAATTAATGTGTTTAGACAACCTTGCCTTTCTTTTAAGTATCTTGGCACGACCTCCTCCTCCTGACCTGTGCAGCCGAGCTACGAGCTGATCGTAGTGCATGAAACCGCGAGAGCGGAACGATTACGAAGAATACCACAAGATGGAATCTCATGGTCAGTACTCCATCTGGGCCGCTCAGACGGCTTCCTACCTAAGCTTGGCTGCGAATGTGCTTGGCTATGGAGATTTGTCGACTGTATCGACCTGCAGCGCAACATTCACCGCAACCTCTATCCATGAGCTACCGACAGAGCTTATTTCCCAGATCGTCGACAAGGTAGACTCGTCTGATCTACACAACCTCAACCTGACTTGCAAGGCCTTCCACACTGCCATCCAGAGCCAGCGATGGAGACATGTACGCCTGGTTGGTTTACCGCAGCACATTTCCAGAATGATTCGTAATTTGATTGAGCTGGCTGAGAACCCGGAGAGTCTGGTGAGCTTGAGGAAGATCACGTATGACCCCTTCTAATCGGCACTCATCGTACTCGACTGACAAGCGTTCAAGGATTGCCTCCATTATCGTACTTCCGGGACCACATATCCAGGAAGGCCGAACGGATTGGCTTTTCGCAGCGGACCTCAAATACTCGCGATCCAACACCCCTGACCTCGTCTTGAAATTGAATCAAGTTATCGATTTCCTGGGTAACAAGGAGAACTGCCCGCAACTTGGCCATCTCACCTTCGACGGTTCCGGGCTTGACGGAGAGCAGGCCTATGAGCTCAACAGGCTGGGTTACAACCCAATCGATGGTATATCGCTGCGGCTAATAGGCACATGCGATGGGGATCCAATATACGACATGGTCGAGCGATGCGTGAGTCCTGTTGATGTTCATGTCTCTCATCGCCCAGCTTACTGGTTCATCGACTATGGCATCATCCGCAGGCTTCATTATGTTGTGGCCGGCGGCAGCATGGAGGTGGATTTCGTCGACTCAGGAGGCGACGTGCTCCTCATGGAATGGCTATCCATTGATGGGTATGACCGCATTTTCGACGATTACCACCCACAGGTACGTTCTTGTTCCCAGCCCGGGAGGCTGCGGTTCGGTGATCAGCTCACCCGCCACGAGTCAATTGTTTTGTTGCCGCTGACAGATTCTGCCGTTCTAGCTGCCATTGATGCGAGAACGGGCCCAAAGACTCTCGTACAATTTCCAGCTGCTTCAACGGCTTGCCCTCACTTGGCGTGACACTGGAGAATTATATTTGTCCTCAGACCCCTCCGACGTCGACACTCTCGACGTTGCGCGCATCTATTTCGAGGAGAACCCCTGCATGGAGCTGGTGACATTCCGATTGCGCTTTCCCAGGCTGGTCGAGATAGAGAAGGTTGGACATGAGCTGAAGCAGACCAAGCGAAACATGGTGGAGGAGCCAAGGGAGGATGGGTGGCCCAACATCTGTCCTTAGAGGGCTGGCAGCCACGCACTGCCCGTCAGCGCTTCGCAATGTACAACAGGGGACATTTTGCTACTGCTGCGCTTATTTATGGATTTGCATTATACGTCTTAGAAGGCTCCGTTGAAGCGGAAGAGAAGACGTCTGAGGGTTCGGGTTAATGGGAGACTTTGGGGAGTTGGCACACCGTCGGGATTCTAAACAGCCATCGAAGGCATTATCAAAGGAGACTAAAGACTTAATAATATTGCGTTGCGTTTTAATCGAGTTTTGAATCCCAAGTTCAAAGACGTCCTCATTTCCGCAGTGGTCTGGCATGGTGAGATATGTATGGTCATGGGCAACCTCTCCAACTTGCTTTCTGGGTTCCAGGGTTCCAGGGCAATGACTAAACATAGAACCCACTTTAAATGCGGGCATGGTGCAGGCCGGACCGGACCTTTGGAGCTAGTGTTGGTTCCTCATAAGCGCGTTTAAGCACGAGTCAAGCACAGAACAGCGCAAGGATAGTTTAATGGTAGAATCCAGGCTTCCCATGCCTGGGGTTCGGGTTCGATTCCCGGTCCTTGCACTTGTTTTTTGACTTTTTGCCTTTTGCCATTCCATTTTTCACCACCCAAACTTGACCCCAATGCGTTTTTGTGGAGAACGGTCCCATCCAGTGTCAGAATACCCCTGCCCAACATTCTGACCATTCTCAGTCAGATATCTTCGCTTGAATATGCTGTTTTTCCTTTGCTTTTTCCTTCTGCACTTCACCGTCCCGAACACGGAGCTGGGCAGACTAGGGACCGTTGAAGTTGAGAGGAAAATTCGCCTCTGTGGACTCGAATGGGCAGGCAGGGTAACATCTTCCCTTATCAACAACATTGTATGACGGCCTGTCACATGGTAGGCCACGCTGAGAATGACGATTGTGGCACTATATACTCAAGGGCTTCGATTTCTCATATCATATCCTCACTCTCGTGTCTTTCTGCGTGGTACCGTTGGGCAATGTTCCCTTCCGGCGGCATAGCGGGCTTTCTCGCAGCCTGTTGGGCCCCACTCGGCTTCACTGTGAGATAGCAGTGGTACCGGAGGTGGACGGCAGTCTCATCACAATTATATACTTTGAGTCTAAGCCTGCTCGATATACGCTTATGGCTTTGGCTGGACAACAGTAGGAAACCCAGTGTCCTTAACTTTTCCCCTATATCAGGTCGGGACTTCTGCAACAGGTACTCAAGTAATTACCTACCTAGGTAGGTATCAAGGGATGGCTTCACCCAGGATATAAGAGCATCAGACAATGGCTGCAAATGCTCTCTTTGAACTATAACCGAGGTATGTACTGCAATATCGGATTCTTGAGGTGACACAGTGCTCGAGGGCCTATGCCAGAACGATCTCCCTCCACTTCTGCTTGGGTTTAAACGAGCCCGTTTCGAACGCCTTCTTGTGAATATTCGCAAGCCCCGCCCTTCTCGCGGACCTGTGGTCATCATCCCACACAATAAGAAGGGCATAGTACAGGAGCCCCTCACTATCAAAGACGTCATTCGACCAATTTTGAATCTCATGACGCGAGAACTCTGCCTCGGAGATCGCTGCGAACTCAAAGGTTTCCCCTACTCTACTCAACCACGAGGTCGGAAGCACAATCACTCCGCACCTATTACCCTTGTCATCTACGATGCCGAACCTACGGAGACCAGCCTTCCGTTTACGGGAGGACCTGGAGATCGAACTGCTTCCTTTCGAAAGTTGAAAGAAGGCCGTGTATGTCCAGAAATAGAGCCACCCGTTATGGAACTCAGTACTGGTGGGGTAGGTAGGTCGTTCCTCGTCCCCAAGCCTCGAGCTTCGGCCGTGTGGCATGTTGGAGGCTGAGGACTGCCATTTATCTGGCTCACGGCTTGAGGATTCCGCGTCTGGCCAGACCAATCTGAGTCCCGGCATAGCAATATCCACTTCTTCCGAAGGCGAAATCGCTCCAGCAACCAAATCGGCCCCAGGGTCCAGATATATGTACCAGACGACCCAAGTATGCAGATGGTGGGAATCGTTCTTGCCATAGACTATAGGAGAAGGCCATTTGACTGGTCCCTTCCAGCCGCACCACGACCAAGTTGGAAAATGACGCACGTCCCGGTATTGTCCAGCTTTTTTCATTTTCCACAGCAGGGCAACGTCAAAATATGATGTCGGCAGTCCGTAGACAAGGTGGGCCCGGAGAGGAGGGCACAGCACGGAGCTCAAGCCTGCGAAAGCAGCAAGACAATCGCTTTCGACTGTTAGAATCCTCTTACTGTAAAGCCGGACATAATCAAAATACAATAATATCGGGTGCCTTGTTATGGTATGAGGGCCCGAAAGGGGCGATAAGTTGTTGTCCAAAGTATGTGATGAGAGGTCAGACTTGGAATGGACTTCCTCGGACCAGGTGGCCTGGTGGCATTGGAAAAAGACGCGATTTTCCGTAAAGATTAGACTTCTTCGTGACAGGATTCTCTCCTGAAAGGTCCATGCCCGAGTACACCACTTAGAGCTTTGTATGCGACTCTCCACGTGCTGCGCGACCAGGAGAGTCATCCCAGAAAAAGAAACGAGTGGCTGTACAGCATCTCGGAGCGTCAATTGAGTCCCTGGGATGCCGTGATGAGATCCATTCCCTGCAGCCACGCAGATATTGACAATGCCATTGCCGTAAATGCGGCCCATGAGGGGGGCCATGTATGCCCAGTCCTCGCGGTCGTCTTGTATAATGCATAAGGAATCCACCCACAGATACCGTACTTCAAGGGACCGAACTAGTATCATAGCATCTCGAACTGTATTGGGAAGATTTGATTCGTTGGGGTCCAGGCCGCCGGGACTGCTGAACCTCTCCAGTAAATCTCTCTCGAGACGTGTCATCGGAGTGCTGCCCCAGACATAACTGAGCGTGGCATATTCCACATCACCAAGGGGCTCAAAGGTGACCAGCCGATTATCTCGTAGGTCGACGAGTCGTAGACGGACCGAAGTGATGGACCTCTCTGAGTGTCCGGTCGAGCGAGGCTCGCAGGTCTCACCGTGATGTTCGAGACAGAGGTGCAGCCAGTTTCGGACCGTGCCAAGATCCACACGATCCCTTGGGATCTTCCGCCCCAAGAAACATGGATCCGCGCACTTGCCAGGCATATCTTCGCACAGAAGCATGATGTGACTCTCAGGGAATAAAACATTGGGGTTGGTAACTGTTAAACGCTTTGTGCAGTCAAAGTTCTTTTGGGTTACCAAACCGTCTCTCTGCCACGAAACGAAGCATGAAACCCTTTGGCCGTCCTTAGTGAGGCCATCACGCCCTATGTAGGAGTCCTCGTTCGATGAATAAGTTGCTTGGAACAGGAGCCAACAAAGCGAGCATCGATCCTTCCTGCGGTAAATCTCGTCTAGATATTCCGGCTCACGGTCGTCTGGCTCAACAGGCTCTATATGACCCAGCCCTAGCGGAAACATGCAGCTTGCATCTCGGAAGAACTTGTCGGGTGAAAGGTTCAGGTTGCAACATCTTTCACAAAGGCTGTCTGAGGGTGCCTCGATGTCAACCCCATGACGTTGTGCCATACTGTCAGGTCCCAGGTCTGGTGGGCGGAGGATGAAGTCGAAGAATCTACCGTTTAGCCAAGCACTCGGAAGCGGACTAAAGCCAGCTGCATCCTTGGACCACGGGACCCTGCAGGTACCCATAAGGGCCGTAAACAAACAGATCAAGCCCCTCCTAACCCTTGTTTCAGTAGATTCAATAACTGTTACTTCGAAGAGCGGAGAGTGTCCCATATCAATACCAACTAACAGATGCACATCACAGCGCAACCAACATTCCCATGATACAATTATGTTTTCAGAGGTATCTTCTCTCCTCTTCAGGGGTAACAGATTCAATTTGACCATTACAAAGGGCTGTGACCGCCCAAGAATGTAGGATAGACTCTAAAGTTGACATCTAACCATCCGCTATCCCTTTAAGTAATAACATCCCATCATCGTGTGTACGTACACCCAAAAAATAAAAGTACCCATTCGTCAAGCCCCATCCTTCCACACAAGTTGGCAGCTAATGTAGAAATCCAAGACCGTCCCAACAGATCCATATAGATCACAAAACTTGCAGAAAGCTTTCCCCGCCCCTGTTCACACACCCGATCGTCACCGTGTGGTAGACAAGATGGGAAAAAGATCAATCCGCGCGAGGAGAGAGAAACGAAAGTCGTTGATGGAAAGCTGTGCGCCCGATATGAGGTTGCTGGAGAAAACTATGCTTTTGCGCGGCTGTCGTGGGAGAGGCGAGCCCGCTGCTCATCGGGTGGGTTGGTTTTTGTGTTGGCTCTGGTGTCATTGCTGGACGGGAAGAGTTGGGTGGACTGCGGTGGGAGTTGCAGCCGAGTCCGCTAATCCACGTACGCAAGGGCGCGTCCGAAGCCGTCGAGAGAGTCGGGCTCCAGAAGAAGAGAGATTGCTTGTGCCGTCATCGTGCGTGGTTGTTATAGTTGTTGTTTTGCCACTTCCCGTCCGCAACGCAAAGAGGCGCCCGAAGGTTGGCCCCTTTACATGACAACGCAGTAGGAGTAGCCGTTGACTCCCATGGAGGAGTTGGAGGTCTGGGTGTTCTTGGTGGTGGCAGGCATTTTGGCTGAGTTGTGGGATGAAGCTGAAAAGCGTTCAAAGAATGTTTGTGAAGTGAAGGTTTGTTTGGTAGATTGATGTGATTGTGGGATGATGAGCAAGAGAGAGAGGTTGTAATCGTCGAGGAGGCTCCTCATATTTATACCTGAAGGAGGTGAGCGGTCTTGCCACCTTCTTTACATGTAGAGGGAAGCATTTTGGTGGTTGACTGAAACGTGACTGATCCTTCGGGTGACTGGGCCTCACCCATGTGCCACCACCGATTGTTCATGATATTGTCTATATGTCCCGACTTCCGAGAATCCCCATTTCCGAAATCTTTTTTGGCAAAGTCATTGTCCTCGACGGCGGCGAGGACAAACGTACGGAAGTCGGGGCCATATATCCACGGCCTGCTTGATATTGTGCTCTAGTATTGTGTCTACCAGACAAGGAGCCTCTCTTTGAGACTACCAATAAAATGATAATGGAGAGGAAGACTAGAAGATCATGGTGGCGGTCAGAATGTAACACACTTTTGCAAACCTCGAAATACATCGGCTGTCTAAAGAATTGAATGGACAGAGACAGTGAGCGCAGTCTACAAGTGTGAAGAACTTCTGTGTATGGCTTCGGATAACCGAAGTTGTTTACCATTGTGCCTTAGTATTGTCCTCACATACTAACCCCGGGGAGGGATCCACACCACAACAGCTTGGCACCAAAAGTCGATGGGAGCGCAGAATAGCTAGTTAATCTATATTGAGTCTTGATTGATTTTATCTTGTCATTGTTATGACATCCGTTTCGTTGAACCATTTCCATGTCCATTGCATGCAAGCGGCTCCAGTGCACATCACATCTCGAGCTCTCCCGAGGTCTAGACCCAATCCTGTCGAGGCAGACAACACCCAACGATGATAAAGTATCACAGAGTTAAAA